GCATGCTCATGGCCAACGTAAGTGATCAGCTTATAGCTCCTGGTTTATGAGAACCCTTAGATACTCCAGCTGCAACAATCAATGCTTTGGACCTAACACTGCTCTAATAAAAGACCTCCAAAGTATTTCTATTTCGGAGGGCTCAGTGAAGGTAGGAACTTGGTGAGATATAGACACTGCTATCTCCTCAGTGCTTAGAACAGTGGCTAGGACATAGAAATTGTTTAATGAAAAAAATGTTATATGAATAATACTGGCTAAAATCTTCATCAGTCAGGATAGATTTGGTTATGCTGTAATAACAAATAGCCCCCAAGTCTCAATTGCTTAAAGAACAAACTATTGCTTATTCATTATGTACATGCATTATGGGTTGGTATGGGAAATGGGTGGCCTCTCCTCTTTGTAGCCAGTCATGGATCCAGGCTGAGAGTGCAAAGAGAGGTCTGGGGAGGGAGAGGTGCGTCAACCTTTAAATGTTCTAACTTTAAAGCGGTACCTCATTGGCTGAAAGTTTACAGTCCACCCAACCATGAAGGATCAGGAAGTGCAAGCTTACAGTTGCAAAGGTAGAAAGGCCCACACTTCTTTGAGATGTGTGAAAGTAGTTCACTTTTAGTTGGGAGAATGGACTAAATTGTCTTAAATATCAATGTGTATGGATGCTTATATTATTAGGATAAATGATAATTGGCTGCAAATATAATCAACTACAATGTATTTGATAGAAAAAATGGAAGTGTTGATATTCTTGTTTTATTACATACATAGATAGAAATTCACTTAAACCTTAAAGGGCAAGTCTTTCTTCCAATCTTTTTAATTTTTTTAAAATTTTAATTATCAACAATTCCTATTTGAGTGGCTTGAACAGAATCCATAGAACATGTTTCAAGTTTGTTAAAATGAATTGAATTCTAGATAAGGGACTATATTGAGCCTTAATTAAATCCATAGAAATGAAGAAAAGAATGGTTACAGATTTTCAAAATGGTAGCCTTTATTAGCAAATGTGAACTTTCTTTTCATTTTAATTCATTAGCATAGCAAGAACAAAAACAAGAGCTATCATAAGGCAAAGACCAATCTCCACACTGCTATTTTCCAAATTCCTGGAATGGACTCAATATTTGCCTCTTAAAAAAGTGAGTAATTTTTTGAGAGTGTTTTAATGTTAATGTACACTGAATGGCCAGATTATTATGACCGGCTAGATTATTATGATCACCCCATCAGTACTTCATTGACACTTCCAAAAATACTGAATATTGAAAACTTCCTAAGCAAATACTCTCAAGGTTTTATTATTATTATTATTTGCATAACTAATTCACTTCATTGTATTGATGGGGTGGTCATAATAATCTGGCCGGTCATAATAATCTGGCCACTCAGTGTATAATGTAATAATTAACTTTGTGTAGTTTGTTTTTCCCAGAAATTGTTTTATCCCAGTATTTAGTAGATGGGCTCCTAAGCTAATCACTGGGGTTTGAAACCTTCTCCATCACTTACTCGCTCTATTACCTTCAGCAAATTTCTTAATCTCTCTGTCCTCTCTCAAGTTCACCGTTCATGAAATGGAGATAATAGCAATATGTTCTGGGGTCAGTGAAAAGGATTGAATTACACCTTACAGGAAACATACTATGGAGTAGAACCAGTACATGGTGAAGGCTTAACAAACATTAGCTGCTGCCACTGATGTTATTATTATTTTAGTCTTGATATTGCCCAGTCTGTGTCAACTTTCTATATATATTCACCAATACAACAATAATGAACCACAGAAAGGACACATACAATACCAAGTAGAACTCTGGTGTTTGACTTATTTTTAACTGTAAGATTAGTAGTCACTGTTATCTTGAAATTTGTTTATTGGTCTGATTCACTAAACAGTTGTTAAGTTACAAAGAGCTATTATGTGTGCACGGTGCAATGAGAAAGACCAGTGGGAAAGACTGATGAGTCTGAAGGGCCCCACACTCTCTCATTGTTTGTAAAACGGAAGAGACAATGGCTTCCAGATATTCATTGCAGCAGCAAACCTTCTTTATAATGCCTGCAAAAAGGCAAGAGAGTATTCTGAAGCATTTCAAAAGGTTTTTGAGGAGGAAAATTGTAAGAATTAACTTGATTTTCAAAACAACACGAAAGACTAGATAGTAGAATCTTTGACCATGGAGATCACATCCATCGTGTTTTCTGCCTTGTCCCCATGCATCTGCACATACTAGGTGCTTTATAAGGGATTTGTGAAAGAATTGAATGAGTATTTCTGAGAATCATTGCTGGTGCAATGCAGGCTATAAGTGACCTTACATTGTTGATATTTAGGTACAATCCAAACACACTAGATTTCCAAAGAAGAAAGTGTTCAAACCTTAGCACTAGAACAAAATATTGAACTTTTGAGTGTTTCCTCTTCCCATCCCAGCATTTTATTTGAGAAGGAGGGACATTTAAAAACAGCGCTTTCAGCATATTTATTTGTCAAAACCCAGACTTCAATGCTGAAAACGACATATTTCTAGTTATTAAACATGTTAAAAAAAAAACTCAGAAGGTTTTTATTGGGCTTATGCAGATAAACATTATATTGTATTCCAGATATGCCATATTCCCAGATTTAGCTGTCAAAACATTTGAGAGACTTGAATGTATATGAACTTACCAACATTTTTCGTTAACTTATTGGTTATAAGAACATTAAGGGGTTAGAAATGGCTCATATTTCACTTTCCCATTTACTTTAGAAGTCTAATACCCATTAACGCTATCAATATTTTGCAGAATGCTTTTTGCTTTTGTTTCTCCTTCCTTCTTTATTCTTTTGGCAAATGAGTGTTATTGATACAATCTCTAACCTAACGTACCAGGCACTACAGTGTTACAGTGCTGCTCGAGTTGTGGAAGAGTTAGTGGGCAGGTATTACAACCCACTGTAGCTGTAATAGAGGTAATGTCACTTTAAGACATGTGATACTTTACAGAGGAGGGATGTATTGAAACAGACTCCTGCTACTTACAGCACCGTGTAGCAGCCCAGCTCCTACATTTTGCTGCCTACTCTGCCCTGAATGCACCGGAGAGGGGATGGTCCGTCATTAATTATAAACTGATTCTCATCAGGAAACTGCACATTATCTCACCATCACTTCAAAGGTCTCGTCAGGCAGAGGTGACGCCAGGAGATGATTTAAAGGTGAAAATGACAAGGTTTCCAGCCTTCAAACCTTGGCTCCTCTTTTGACAATACAGTCTGAATGAACCCGATGTCTCCTTTATTGTGGAAATAGCATCAGAAGAGAAGAAACATTTTTTAAAAAAAATCGTGATAAAGAAGACTATTGTAAGCTCTCTTTAAAAATATCTCGAATTGTGGCACAGATGGGTTTTAGAAAGTGGTAGAGCTTTCCAATGAACACTAACAGAGAGCTCTGCTCCTGGCTGGATTTCTCAGGTAAGAAGCCTCTTTTAAGGATTTAAGATTCAGAAAGCAGATTTGTAACCTATTCAGTCTTCTCTAGGGAACTAGGTAAGGCTGCATGCATTATTTGGGGGAAAGCACCTATCAACATAGAGAGTAAGCTATGGGAGCGATATGTAGGGACCTTGAAAGTAATGCTGAGAATGAAAGAAAGTTAAATTTAAAAGAAAGGAAAAGAAAGAAAATCCTGTAAAGGTCAAGTCACAGTAATCTTTCTGAGTGCCCAGATCAAGTGGGTGATGAAATGAGCAAGAGGCACTGAACTGTGAAATTTTGATTGTGGGAGGCTTTTTTCAAGTTTAGATTAATTCCTGCTGCATTTTAGCTGAAATTCACAAGCAGTCAGTGCGTGCCACGGTCACCTCTGCTTTGTCTTTCTATAATTTTCAGGGTATTTTGCAAAGACCCCAAAATGCATTCATTCAGGATTCCCAGGAGGGGTGTTGCTATTTAACTGCTGAAGAGAATGAATCTATGTTACACTGATAGTTCTGGAGACAATGAGCTAAATCTGTTGTATACAAAAGTAAACAGTGGGCAGTGAGACAATTAGAAAGTGGATGGTCCATCTGAATCTCAGACTGGGGCCGGAAAAGCACCATGCTGTTGAAAATAATGTTTTCCTACTTTGCACTTAATTATGGTTGTCACCATTTGTCTATTATAGTCCTAAAACCTTTCTTAAAGACATCTCTCTCTCTTAAAACCCATAAATTATCTTGTACTATGTCTTATACACACACATATAATGCATATTTTTGCTTTCTAAAATTAGTCTCTTGAAAGAGTACTAATTTCCATGAGTAAAAAAGCCACAATGGGAGGTCACTAGCAGGTTTTAAATATATAGTTGGAATACTTGAAGTGTATGATTTGACAATGGGAAATTAAAAAAAAAAAGAAAAAGAAACAAACTTGGTTCCAAAGCTCTCTCTACCTAAGAAAATAGCATACACTTCACTGTATTCCTGTGTAGAAAATGCTTCCCTATCACTGGCTGAGTGAGGATGATGTTCAAGTTGATTAATCTGGCAATATGAAGTGCGGCAGAAGGTGTTGTTTGAGAAATTGGACATTATGTAGCGTAGCTGAGCCTTTGCAGCTCTAAGGTCCGTATGGGTGCAGATAAGACTGTCAAAGTTTCGGTGCCTGTGAAAAGGTGTGTGCTCATCCATAAATGCATACACCACCTGTATATGCATATTCATCAACACTGTACCTCAAATGCCACAACGGGATCCGAGGAGGCGAAGCAATATTGTAAATTACGGCTTGCTCTATGGCAGACGCACAGGTCTTGCATGTGAAACTCATTCTGGCTGAAGACAATTCCTTCTGATTTTAAGTCCAGCCAGAGAGACTGATTCTATCAGGAGATTACAACATGCCTCTGAGAAATGATTACTTAGTTTAGAAGATAGCATAGTGATTAAAAATTCATGACTGTAGAATTAAAAAAAAAAAAATAATCCACTCTTTCCTTTCATTGTGTCAGACTTGCAATGAAGTTAGAATGAGCAGGAGTGTGCAGCTCTCCAGTGCCTGGAAAAACTGTCACTTACAGATCAGTGTGCCAAACAGGGAGGTTAGTTAGGATACTATGTTTCAGACTGCCTAAGCCATAGGCAAACTTTAATTTATTTTTGTCTTTTGGCAATTCTTGGAGTTTGGTTTTGCTGAATTTCACAAATGAATGCATGATCTTCCGGAGAGTGCTTTTCCTCAGTCCTGCTGCGCGGCATGACCTCTGCTGGCCTTGTTTTCTAGCAGCAGAGGGGCATGAGCCCAGACCCCCTGCTCTCCTCAGTGGGACTGAGTGGGCTGGGGCCTGGGAGCTGGGGCTGACCCTCCCTGTCTGCTGTCCCCTCCAGAGCATGGCGGTGGTCTCGGCGATGTCCTGGGCCCTGTACCTGTGGATAAGTGCCTGTGCCATGCTGCTCTGCCACGGAGCCCTCCAGCACACCTTCCAGCAGTCCCACCTGCACAGACCAGGTAAGCCTCTGGCTCGCTGCAGCCCCCAGGCTCACCGCTGTCTCCTTAACAGATGGTGAAGGCAGGCGATTCCAGTGCTGTGGTCTGGGCAGCTCGCCTCTGAATTCCAAGACATATTGTTGGCTAGAGGCCTTGGGAAAAGGGGGTCACTAAAATGGCTTGGTGGTATTTCTATTAACTTCTCAAAAATGGGGTTGTCTCTAAGAGCCCACCTCACACACACACACACACACACACACTGAAAAGTCCTTTGTTTTGTGTACTTTGGCCAAAAATAGAATATTCTATAAGAGGTGGGATAATTTTCAAGACTTGGAGATTGTTTTTAGGGGGACAAAATATGATCTTTGCAACTGACGAAATAATGTGTGTGTATTCTTGGATGCATTTTTATCTAGTGTAGATACTATCATCTTGGTGTGTAAGGGGCTAAGAATTTTGTGGGAATATTCGTGCCCAAACTGACTTTGGAAATAGTTTGTCAATGAAAAAGAAATTAAAAAGTAACTTACTATTTCTTGTCTGGTATAATCTGTCTTCCCTCCTTTCTCCCTTTCTTCCCTTTCTGTTCACCAGTATCTCCGCGGCTTCTCTCGGCAGCTTCAGGGGCCAGTTCCCCTGAACCTGGTTGGGTGTTTTCCCTGTATTGGATTTTGAGTTCTGGAAGCATTTTGCTTTCTTGGTCTTTCTGTTCAAAATATGTTGTTTACCCTTTCGTGGCCTGGCTCTTAAATCTGGGGGTTTCTCGCCTCCTTTGCCTCGCCAGCTTTCTCATCACTGTTCCCCAGCTCGATCGTCCGCACCCGCTCAGCTTCTCATAAAGATTTCCGTCCATTCTCGGTTTAGCTTCAGCCTTTGCGTCCATTTCCTGCACCCCCGCCTTCTCCCGCCGTCTCTGGGCGCCGCCCCCAGGTCAGAGCTCCCGGGACCAGTTGCGCCCGAGCTCGCGAGCCGCAGTTTC